TGCCATGTCTAGCTTTACCGAAGTCACTGTTGACTTAGTATTCATCCTTCTTGAGCTTTCTCAAGCTTCTGACACTGTTAACCACCCCCTCCTTCTGGGTATGTTCTCTTTGTTTCTTGGTTCTGTCTGATAGCGCCTCCTGAATATTCTCTGTGTAATCATCCTCCACCCGCCACCCACTAAGTGGAGATTTAGCCCAAGGCACGATCCTAGACACCCTTCCCTTCTCTCTCCACTTTCTTTCCAGGTGTTATCTCTCATGAGTTTATCATCTCTACACGGATGACTCCCAGATCGATCGATAGATAAATGATATAAATAGATCTATATCTAGCTGTAAAGCTCTGTAACTCTTGAGTTTCTGCAGAGAATATTTCACATCACTTCATCTGTAAAGAACAGGTATAGATACACAAGCCTAGCCCGTCTCCTGAACTTCAGTCCTGAATCACCAACTGCCTACTGGATTTCTCCAACTGGATGTCTCCATAGGCATCTCAAACTCAACTTGTTCAATGATAGAACTTACCTTTCTTTCTAAACTCACACTCTGCCTAACTTCACTATTTCTACTGAGGCAACTACCACCCTTCCAGGGAAGAGAGAACAAGCACTTCTTAAAAACATTAACTAAGGTACATTTATGAAGCAGCCACTATGTGCCGGGCACTGTGGGAAGTGCTTTACGAATATTTTCATTGGATTCTAGTCACCTAGCTTCACTTTGAGTCATCACCAACTCCTCATTTTCTCTTATTCCCCACCCTCCACGTCCAATCAGTCGCCAAGTCTCCTTGATTCTCTCTCCACATCTCTCACATCCATCCACTTCTCTGCCTAGAACCAATTACTACTCGAGATCAGGTCCTCACTCCCTCTTGCCTAGACTGTTGCAACTAGGTGGTACAGTGGATAGAATGCAGGAATTGGAGTCAGGAAGATCCGAGTTCAGATACTTACTAGTTGTGTGATCCTCAGCAAGTCACTTAACCCTATTTGCGTCAGTTTCCTCGTCTATGAAATGAACTACAGGGAAAAAATGGCAAACCACCACAGCATTTCTGCAAAAACCCAAACGGAGTCACAAAAAGTCAGAAATGACTGAAGAAGACTATTGAAACCTCCTTCCAGTTGGCCTTGTCTCCAGTCTCTTCCCCTCTCTAACCCATTCTTTACAGTTGTCAAAATGATCTTCCTCAAGCACAGGTCTGACCATGTCACTCTCCCTGCTGAAGGACCTTCAGTGGCTCCCTATTACCTTGAGAATAAAATGCAAATTATTTTGGTTAGCATTTAAGGCCTTTCCTAACCTGGCTTCAGCCTACCTTTCCAAGCTTATTTCCTATTATTTCTCCTCTCCTACTCCATGTTCCAGGCAAAGCACCCTACCCTACTCACTGCTCTCTGAACTAAGCATTCCATCTCTCACGTCCGTGTCTTCGCAAAGGCTGTCATTCATACCTGGAATGTTCTCAGGGCTAATCACCATAGCTTGAAATATCTAGATTCCTTCAAAAATCAGCTCAGGTTACACCTTACATTAGACCTTTCTTAAGCCCTGCACTATACTGCTTTCCTTTCCCTGGAAATCACTTTGCATTGACTTTATGTATTTTTTTAAATTTCCCTATCTGTGTAGCAAAGGTTGGATTCCCCCAATACAGTGTCTTTTGTTTTGTGTTCCTAGCTCCTTGCATTCTCAGGCACTTACTTTACTGAGTCTCATTTTATACCTCTGTAAATGAAGGAGGGAGGTTGCAATTGTACCTTCTAGCTATAATAATATTTGACCAGTTCAGGGAGCCAGTCTCCTAAAGAGCAAAGGGCACAAAGGACCCAGGACATCACAGTTGCGGGGACCCTTAGTACTAACACACATATCCTCCTTCCCAGAGGACCTAGTACAGAAGGAATCCAGTTTTGCACCTGGCTGCCAAACGATGAGCAAATTTGGGGAGATGGCGCCACCTGGTGGCATCCCCTCTTCTTCACACCATGGTCCCAAAGGCCCCCATTTCTGCAAAGCGTGGGGGGATGACAGCAACCGATGCAGGCCGAGCCCTTATCTTCAGCCTCTGTCTCTTACACTCCTCAGTCCATTGCAGCAACGAGGTCCAGGTCACTGTTCCCAACTCTAGGGGTGCTACTGAGCCCGTGTGTGGCCTAGCTGAAGACCAGCTAAGCCGATTCCAGACCAGGCCAGGCCCATGCTGAGAGCTGATGCCCAGTCCAGACTAAAGGCCTGCCTCAGCGCCAGGCTAAATTCCAGACCTGGCCACACGCTGATCCCGGGCCCGTACTCCAAGATGGGTCCTGACGCAGGACCCAGAGCCATGCCCCATACCGAGACTCCCTTACACCGAGTGCGGACCCAGGAGCCCCATACCAGGACCCTGACCCTCACCAAGTCCAGGAATGCATTCCAGACTGCCTTGATCTTTTCACAACTTCCTGTGCTTTCTTAAACAAAAGGCACCCAACACAAAATAACTTTTTCCTGATGACTAGTTTATCATTATACTAGAAACTACTCTATAGGGTCTAACAAAAGAATGAGGCACCTTCAAGTTATGAATTTGGCCCTGCCACTGACTGGTCCCAAAGAGGCTTTTTGAATTCCTACGTTGCTTCTCATGTGGCTGCCCCCTCCTCCCACCTGGCCCGACTTTCCTTCCCTCGTAACGTGCTGCTGCCTCTGAGGGAGCCTCAGATGCCTAAGTCGCAAGCTAAGATAACTCAGGGGACCAAGGAAGACAAGCAGTCTATGGGCTGGAGATGGATCGGGTAAGACAGGTGATCGCGTTTCACTGCCCCCAGTGTTGCCTTCCTGGTTAGGGGAGTGGTCTGTCCTTCCATGCCCTGGCCTGCCCGAGTTACACCCCTGCATTACAAGCAGGAGCTCAGCTTCCCCAATGGGGAGTGAGATGAACTCAGCTTCACCTTCTGGCTCTTCGGGGCTGTGTGACCTTGAGGGGGCTTCCTGGCTTCCCTGGGCTCTCTGGCACAATGGCACTGCCTACAAACACGGCTGCTGTCAAACTCCAATGAGGTAAGAGGCGTGTAAGGCACACCACGGAGCTCCAGGTCCCCAGAAGTGCCTCCTGGCATTATTACTATTGGCATTCACAGGACAGTAGGACAGCTTTAAACCATGGAATGCCAGGATCTCAGAAGACCCCAAAGGCAGGAGGCACACAGAGGGCAGAGACAGATTGTGTGGCAGGTTTGAGAAAGTTACAGCTTGTTACCAGTGATGACTTGGGCAGGAACTTGATGGCAGGAAAGACATCCTACAGGGTACAGGGACCTGAGGAAGGCATTTTTGCAAGAACCAGCTGCTCCACAAAATACTCAAGGACCCAAAGAAAGGCAGCTTCCAGGGTAATGAGTAGAACCTCTATGGGAAATTACAGATGAGAAATACAGAGCCAGGAAGGAGAAGACCCCAATGATTAACATACCTCCTTTCTGTCCCTCCCCCCTTCACACCCCACCCCACCCCCCGGGATGAAAGCACAACAATATTAAAATAAACATATGAAGAAGAATAACTGGTATTATTTCCTTCTCACCCACCACCCAGAGACAAGTTCAGAGCAGTGAGGGACAAAGCAGGGTTCACAAAAGATCTGACTTCGAAACAGATGGAGCAGACACCTGGGCAAAGGAATGGAGTCCGTGCCCTGTGTGTCAAAGGGAAAAGGTCACTGCACTCGGCCACGTTTGCTTAGTTACAATCAGCAGCTTTTACTGAGCACCCTTGATGAAGCAAATACTGTGGGGTGCTAGTCCCCCAACAGGAGACCAAAATACCCAAATATACAGATACAAAGTAAAAGGCTTCCCCCATGCCTGGGAGAGAGCAAGGTGGTCCCAGAAGGAAGGTGCCCTGGAGTCCCCATCCAGAGAGAACAGATGTGAGGGAGGAATGTCCTTCTGGAGGGGACTTTGTCCCCCCAAACACAAGTGTGGGCAGTGCAGGAGCCAGAGTCCTTGGATCACAGCTAAGATTTCCCTTACGCAGGGCTGACCCATGACCAATGGGCACATGGTGAGGTTCAGAGATGCTCTCTTCTCCCTTCACACAGAAACAACTCGAGGAGAAAGCAGGCAGATAGGAGGAATAGCCACAGCAAAACTCATCCTACGTCCTCTCCCATGGATCCCTTTCTCTGACTACAGGTCTCCAAGGGAGAAACTAGAATGTGGTCCTCAGCTGCACCAGGCCTCAGGGGAGATCCCAGAGCCGGGCCACAGCCTGTCTCTGAGAGACGTGCTGGCTTTGGTTTCTGGCAGCTCAGAGACCTAGAAGCCATTTTGTCAAGTGTGGAGAGGGGAGACAGCCCCCGATGCCAGGTTCTGCTTGGTCTAGTCAATGACTTGTAGCGGGAAGACAGAGACCACTCCTCTCTCCATCCCCCACTACATCTCCCAAGCTGCTGTTGGATGGGGAGAAGTGAACCTGCTGGGACCTAATCCCATACTTTCCCCTTCCTCCAGGCAGCACCGTTCATGTTCCAACATTCGAGATAGAACCCAGGTGTCTCCGCAGGGTTTTCAACCCCAATCCAAGTTGGGAATGTTAGCACAGGAACAGGAGCAGCATCAGGAGAGGGGCAGGGGATCCAGGCAAGCTCTTAAAACCTGAGAGACGGGAAGGTAAAGACACTGAGCTTCCCCTGCAGAAGCCCACATCTGGCAAAGTAAAAGCTATGATCTGGAATACCACATCTGTCCCCTACTCCTCCTTTCCTGCATTTCCCAACATATCCCAAGTGCAAAAACATTTCCCAACATTCCCTCCCCCCTTAGAAACACTGTATTGTATAGAACCATTAAAAAAATAAACCCCGGATTTTCTTGACATTCTGTGCCTGGGGTCCCTCTTCCCCCTTTCTGGATTGTGCCGTGCTGCTACCACTGGGGACTCCAGCTCTTCATCTGGAAAACAGAATCAATCAATAATCAATCAATAAACATTTATGACCTACTACGCGCCAGGTACTGTGCTAAGGGCTAGGGATATAAAAAGAGGCAAAAGATGGTCCCTGCCCTCAAGGAGCTTACAATCTAACACCAAAGTATGGGCATTACTTGGTGACCTAAAGAAATGGGCAGGGAATCCTTGGACAGTCTCTCTGTGATGGGCTTTTTTTTGGGGGGGGGGGGCACTTTTCATAATAGCCACAAGTCGCTGTAGGAGGGTTTAGGAACAGGTGAGTCTGGAGGCGTGGGAGCGGACAGCCAGATTCACCTCCTCCTCAGCTCCCTCACATGACTCACTCACCCGGCAAGCTCTGGGCTGGTCACACCCTGAGCCTGGTACCTGCCAGGACAGGAATCCCACAAGAGGCTTCCTGCTGCCTCACCTTCACAGTCTCCTCACCAAAAGTGCCCCCAAGCTCACAGGATTCAGAGGCGGAAAGGACTCAACTCCCACTCTCTTATTTCACAGATGATGAAACTGAGACCCGAGGACAAGACACTCGGCCACGGCCACACAGTGAGTAAACACAGCGAGTGAGTAGAAGAATGCACATTTCCCATCTCCAGATCCAGAGATCTTTCCACCAGCCCTCCCTCGCTGCCTGGCTCCTGCACTGCCTGGACAACTTCCGAGCTCAAGAAGCACCAATTCTCCACCCCCACCCCCGTACCCTCTAGCCCGGCAGGCTCCGGGAAGCATACCAGGGAGAGTCGAGTCAGAGAACAAGGCTTCATATCCTGCTTCTGCAGCTTACCTGCCTGGGGGGCCCTTCAGCAAGGCCCTGCCCTCTCCTCACCCGTACAATAAGGGGGCAGGACCAGAAGATCGATCGCTAAGCCCCTTCCAGCTCTAAACCCAGCCCCAGTGACAGGTAGGCCTGGACCATGCCCAAGAGCCATGACTGTAGATCAGACCTAAGGGTGCTGATGAAGCATCTCAGGGAGCCAAGCTGTTTACCCAGGAGATGACTGGGGGGGGAGGTGGAGTGCTAGATGCCATCTTCAAGCATCTGTCACTAGGAAGAGGGATGAGGGGGAGACTTACGGGGCCCAGAGAAGCTATGTGACTTTCCCAAGATCTCCCAGGTAGTAAGGAGCATGAACAAATTCAGTCAGCACACTCTCTACTACAACACGCGGCCTCCCAGGCAAAGGTGGAGTGACCACCTCAGGGAAGCCTGCCTGGACCAGCTGGCAGGCTGGACCAATTTACTAGCAAGCCACCTAAGTTCTCTGGGCAGACTTAGTTTCCTTATCTATTTTTTTTTTTTTTGGTGAGTCAATTGTGGTTAAGTGACTTGCCCAGGGTCACATAGCTAGTAAGTTTCAAGCGTCTGAGGCCGGATTTGAACTCAGGTCCTCCTGACTCCAAGGCCAGAGCTCTATCTACTTTGACACCTAGCTGCCCTCAGTTTCCTTATCTGTAAAGAAGAGGACTGAGCTAGGTGGTCTCAGAGGACCCTGTCAGTTCTAGACTATGCTTCTCAACCCTCTGAGAGCACTATCAACTCTAGATCCTCAGTGCTATGAAGCATCTGCCAGTTCTAGAGCTATGTACCTGGGCCTGACGCCTCCGCCAGGGCTCAGAGCCCGTGATTCTTTAAAGCACTCATAATCCTGAACGGCAGAGGAAGGGGCCCCACGGAGATAGAGGAGCCATAGCACAGAATAAGGGTTTCAGTCCTTGCCTAATTCTAACCACCTCTCCAGTCTTGATCCCTAAAACCTCAGGGGAGAAAAAAAATTCCAGAAACTCTACCATCTCAAGTTCCTCGTCTCAAAGACCGTCTCTTCGTCACTCTCCACTGAAGCCATCTCCATGTGGTCATCTGTATTTGAGAGCAGACCATACTTCCTCCGCTGCGGTTTCTTTATTCTGAAAACAGTTTAAAATACAATTCATTTCAATTCCACAAATCTTTCCTGAGGACCTACTACATGCAGGGCCCTGCGTTAGGATAAATCCCAAACCTTCACTGACAGATAATAAACATCATTCTCAACCTCTTCAGTTCACTTCAACAAACACATATGAGGCACCTATTATGGGTTCAGCATGGAAAACACAAAGATGAAACGACAGAATCCCAGGGAGAATGTGACAGGGGCAAAGGCAGGGCCCACCCAGTGCTATGAGAAATTTGACGAAGGCAGCTTTCAGCAGCAGAGTGCAGGAAGGGGACAGGGAAGATTCTTTTACATGGGAGACAGTCCCTGAGTCGGGCCTTGAAGGGAGGGAAAGACTTCAACAGGCAGAGGTTGTGGGGAGGGAGAGGATGAGAAGGAAAGGGAAGCCCCCCCATAAGAACTCAGGCCCCCCCAGTGCTCTAAGGCCTGGAGGGTAGATCACATGAAAGGGAAGATTATAAGGCTGGACAAATGGGCTGGGCCTCCCGCTAAGGCTGGAGGGCTTTGAATGCCAAATATAACGGATTATTACTTCACAATGCCAGAAGGAGGTTATCAGGACAGTGTGCCAGCAAGAGAACTTGGGCAGTGGAAGGCAGATGGAGGAGCTGGGGAGAGGCCTAGAGAAAGGAGGCCCAGTTAGGAGCCTAATCTCCCAAGAGAGGTGTTTCAGAGACAGCCCCTCTCTGGGGCCGAGGACAGGCAGAGGCCCCTCAGTCAGGTGCTTGGGGATACAAAAAGTGACAAAAGGGAGTCCCTGCTCCCAAGGAGCTAACAGTTTAAGCAGAGACAAGATGAACAAAACAAGCCACACACAAGAAATTAGGAAATAATTAACTGAGAGAAGGCACTGGAATGGCAAAGGCTTCCAAGAAAAGAAGAGATGAGCTGTGACCTAGAGGGAGCAGGGGAAGCCAGGCCGGGCCAGGAGGTGCTACTTCCCCTCATGAAGGGTAAGAACTACTGTAGTTATTTCAGCTGTGTCCAATTCTCCGTGACCCCATTTGGGGTTTTCTTGGCAAAGATACTGGAGCGGTTTGCCATGTCCTTCGCCAGCCCATTTTACAGATGAGGAAACTGAGGCAAACAGAGTTGGTTAAGTGATTTGCCCAGGGTCACACAGCTAGTAAGTATGTGAGGCCAGATTTGAACGCAGGTCTTCCTAACTCCAGCCCCAGTGCTCTATCTACTGAGCCACCTAGCTGCCTCCTAAGAACCATTTAGAATAGGTTTATTTCCCAGCAAATTCAGACTACCTTCTGAAGGTTGTAGCCCCAAAGAGAACCAGGGATTCAAATCAGTTCAACAGAGAGGAACAAGAGGCAGGGTAGCAAGCCTCGTTCGAGGCCCTGAGGGCGCTACAAAGGGGAGCTAAGTGCTGGGCCTGGCCCCAATCTCCCAGCCTCCCGAAAACCTAACCTTATTTTGGAGGAAAGGGAAGATCTGGAAAAGCTTCCTGAAGGAAGCAGCTTTGAGCTGAGCTTTAGAGATGGGCACAAATTCCAAGTGAAGATGGAAAGAGAATTTATCATTATAGATGGCACTGGGGTTGGCAAAGGAAGCAGGAGGGAACCACTCTGTCCAGCAAGTAAGCGCAGAGGGGAGACATGCAGGCTGGAGACAAAGGAATGGGCGCCACCTGCCCCAACTCTCCATGATGTGTCAGGCCTCCGGGGGACAGAGAAGCAGAGCCTCAAAGAATTCATAATTCAGACAGGGAACAACCACTCCCCCACAAAACCACCACAAAGAGAACCCCAGAGGCAGAATTCTAGAGCTGAAAGGGAGCCCCTTTTACCACATTCCACCCTCTCTTTTCAAAGAGAAAGCCCCCAAAGGGGAATCACCTTGGCCAAACTCCTGGGACCGCAGTTTGACCAGGAGGGGACCTTAGAGGCTGTCTGGTCCAACCCACCCATTTTACAGATGACGCAACTGAGGCCCAGAGAGGTGATCTGTTCCAGGTCACACAGATAATCAACAGCATGAGAATTGGAACTCAGGTCCTCAGGCTCCAAAGCCAGTGCCATTCCTACTGAACTAAGCAAGTTTCCAGTAGGGCCACAACTAGAACTCCCAAAGAAAAGGGGAAAAGCATTTATTAAGAGTCTACTATGGGCACAGCTAGATGGCGAAGGGGATAGAGCACCAGCCCTGGATTCAGGAAGACCTGAGTTCAAATCTGGTCTCAGACACTCGACACTTACTAGCTGTGTGACCCTGGGCAAGTCACCTCACCCCATTGCCTCACCCCCCCCCCAAAAAAAAGAGTCTACTATGTGCAAGGCACTGTGCTGAGCACTTTACAAATATCATCTCATTTGATACAACAAATGAGGAGGTCAATGCTATTATTATCCCCATTTTACAGGTGAAGAAACTGAGGCAGGCAGAAGTGAAGTGACTTGGGGGAGGGGAATGTCACAAATCTAGTAAGTATCTGAGACTGCATTTGACCACAAGTCTTACAGCACTCTCTTCAATGAGTCACCGAGCTGCCCCCTAGAACCCAGGCCTCCCACCTCCACAACCATCCCCAGCATCCTGACACTTACGGATTCCAACCAAGTTCCAAGTGCTCAGGAGAAGAGCCTGAAGGATCCAAGAGGCCAGACCAAAGACGGGCAGAAATCCCAGGGGAAAGAGCCCACACCTGGCCTAAGGTGGTGGCGAGGGAGGATGGAGAGAAAAGGTCAAGCAGGAGAGCTCTTCTGAGGGAAGAGCTTTCAGGACTGGGCAACCCCCTTGGGGATACAAGAGACATGGGAGGCGGAAGAGTCAGAGGGCCTATTAACAGAGATAAGCAAACTGGGAGAAAAGGAGGCTGAGAGAATCACCCAGGTGAAAAGGCCAGCAACTGGCAGCTGGAAACGTAAGGCTCCGGAGCTTGGGAGATGGAAGGATGGAAGAGTCAGCTGCACAGAGGTGATGTCTCCGAGAGGGAAGACAGGCTTGAGGACTATCAGCTGGAGCAGAAGAGGCGACAGCATCCAACGAAGGAGAAAAAGGAGCACATCCACCTCATGTCTCTATTCAGACTCAGGCACGAGGGCCTGTGTGCACAACACCTTTCCTGTATCTTCCATAGCACACAGCTGAGCAAGTATCAGACCCACAACATACATCACTTAGATCAATGTTCCGTCGTCTCTGACTCTCCATGACCCCATTCGGGGTTTTCTTGGCAAAGATACTGGAGTCATTTGCCATTTCCTCTCTCCAGCTCACTGTACAGATGAGGAAACTGAGGCAAATAGGGTGAAGTGACTTGCCCACACCTAGTTCAAATCCAAAGGCTGGATTTGAACTCAGGAAGATGTGTCTTCCTGACTCCAAGTCTGGTGCTCCATCCACTGTGCCATCTAGCTGCCCTGAGGCTTGGATTAAGCTTTACAAATGTCTCTGCAGCTGAAGCCCTACATTAAAGGACCTTCCCTGCTTCTCCTTACCAACCTCCAAGATCTCCCCCAGTGGTCCTTACCTACCTACCCCTTCCAATGCTACCTCCCCCACACTCCCCCAGGCTCCCCACTTCTCTCCCATGCCTTTGGCCATTCCACATCCAAGTCCCACAAGGAAAAAAGCAAAAGAAATGTCTTCGTTAAATCACAGCACGGCATATGGGAAAGAGCCCTAGACTGGGGCTCAGAAGGCCTCGATTTTAAGTCTGTCTTTGCCACCAACTAGCTGTGTGATTTCAGACGAATGATATCCCCTCTCTGGGCCTCTGTAAAACGGAGGACAAACATCACTATTCTGAGACCTCTTCCAGCTCTATATTCGAAGGACCATTCCCTTTATAACAGTCTATGTTCAACTCGACAGTGCCTGATTCAATCAGGAAGACCTAGATTCAAAGACCAGTTCTGACCTACACTGGCTGCATGATCCCGGACAAGCCATTAAAGACTCGGCCAGCTCAGCCCGCTCTTTAGGACTATAGGCTGCAGATAAAGTGGCAACCTGCACTGGTAGGGGGAGTTTTCTCACCTAGAAGTCCCCAGGTGCAGACCCTACTCTATTATACAGGCATTGTGCTGGGAAATGGGCATAACAAAGACAAAAATTAAACAGTCCTTACTCCCAAGGCACTTCCATTCTATCAAGGAAAGCAACATGGATAAATGTGAGGAGGCATAAAACATATACACTTTTTCCTTACCTATAATGTTTATCTTCCTTTGAGGCTCAGGTCAAGGGCCACCTTTGACTTGAAATCTTCCTCATCCCCCCAGTTTTGAGTGTCTCTTGTCCCCAGCCCCCCCACCCAAGTACTTTATATTTCTTTTGTACACATTCTCTAAATCCCTATATATGTCCCTATATATCTGGTACATATCTATATTCCTATCTATGTCTACACACACCTATCTCTGTACGTACAACACACACACACACACACACACACACACACACACACACACACACAATTTCCCTGGCTAGACTGTAAGCTTCTCAAGGAAATAGGCAGTAAAACTCTAATAGTGGGGAAACCTTAATTTACCTCCCTCAGACCAAGATAAAGCTAACCATAAATTCAACAAGAAATAAGTTAAAGACATTAATAGAATTTTAGAAAAACTAGATATAATAAAGATCTGGAGAATAATGAAGGGGAATAGAAGGGAATATACCTATTTTTCATTGGGCAAAACACCTTCACAAAAACTGATAGTGTATCATTGCAGAAAAAGCTTACCAACACAGAAAAGCAGAAATATTAAATGCATTTTTTCTGACCACAATGCAATAAAACTTACATTCAATAAATGGTCTTTGAAGCATAGATTAACAATTAATTGGTGACAAAGAATTGACAACTGAGGGAATGCCCATCCATTAATCAGGGAATGGCTGAACAAGTCATGGTATATGAATGTGATCAAATATTATTATGCTGTAAGAAATGATCAAGAAGATAGTTTCAGAAAAAACATGGGAAGACTTGGATGAACTGATGCAGAGTGAAGTGGGAAGAACCAGAGAACAGTCTACACAATAAAAGAGATACTGTAAAGATAATCAACTTCGAAAGAAATCAACTTCTGCCCAACACAATTCCAAAGGACTTATGATGAAACATACTCTCTATCTCCAAATAGATAACTAATGGACTCAGAATGCAGACTGAATCATATTTTTTCTTTTCTTGCTTTTCTTGAAAACATGGCTATTATGGAAATTTATTTTGCGTGACTATATGTATTTATAACTGATTTTGGGTGTGTGTGTGATGGGTGGGGGAGAAGGGAGGGAAATTGGAACTTAAAAAACAAAACCTAGACTCCAAACTAGCTCTCCAGCATCACTGTCCCAACTATATTTTGGTATTTTTGGTTTGTTTTTGTCTAGGCAATGGGGTTAAGTAACTTGCCCCAGGTCACACAGCTAGTAAGTGTTATGTGTCTGAGGCCAAGATTTGAACTCAGATCCTCCTGAATCCAGGGCCAGTGCTCTATTCACTGGGCAACCTAGCTGCCTCCCCAAATATATTTTGGAAAACATATATCTGCATGTTTGATGCCTGATATTTCTAATCAGATATTTATAATCAGATAACTTATAATTAAAAGTTATAATCAGATGCCTGATATCTATAATCATAATTATAATAAAATTGTAATTCCTAATCCAATTATGATTATAATTTATAATCTAAAATTATAATAACTTATAATTTATAATCAGATTATAATTATAATCATTTATAATCAATGAATGCTGTTATTTCTACCACATAGTAGGCATTTGATGATGCTTGCTGAATGAGTCATTCAGAATATTTCCCAGAATACTCCTTTGAGGGCAGGAACTACTTTTGTATACCTAGCCAGAAGAAGGTAGCAAGCTCACTGGGTAGAGCCTGGGCCTGGAGTCAGGAAGAACGGAGTACAAAATCTGTGCTCAAGCATTTAGCAGTTGTGTGACCCTGGTCAAGTCACTTAACCTCTGTTTGCCTCAGTTTCCTCCACTGTAAAATGAGGATAACAACAGTCCCTACTTCGAATGGTTGTCGTGAGGGCTAAATATTTGTTCAAAGTACTCAGTACAATGCCTGCCACATAGTAGACGCTACTGAATGCTTATTTTCTTCCCAATGCCTTGCCAAACAGAAGTTGCGGTCTGCACACTGCGGGTGCTTAATATATGCTTATTTGTAGTTTTATTTTTTTGGAAGGTGTTAAGTGGATCGTGGATCCTGGATATGGAACTGAAAGGGACCGTGGAGATCATCTCGTCCGGCTCATCATTTTCTGGATGGGAAAACAGACAGACGAAATGATGCAAAGTGCTTTAAAAGGAAAACATTACTTAAATGTCGGCCACTATTGCGATTAGAATGGAAATGCTTCTCACCACCGGCCGGGTGAGGTAGGCCTGGCATTATCATCCCCACTTTAGGATGACAGGAGGTAAGAAGGATAAACCACGTTTAAGTCTTCCCCTCCAAGAAGCTTTATACCTGGAGGATGCGGTTAAGAGAGGCCCAGGGACCCGCATCAGCTCCAAACCCCACGTGACTCCAACGAGGTTCGCCTCACGTGACGCGCAGCACGTGACTAGGAAGCCTCCTCCCTGCCAACCCACACAGGCAATCTCCCGGCTACTTCCGAAACTAAGGACGGAGGGTCTCTGTCACATGACCCCCGAGCCGAACCAGGATAGGCCCACGAGGTCATGTGGGTATGACTCACCTGAAGGCCCGGATGAGGAAATAGAGCGCAACCAGTCCACAGAAGCCAGTAAGCACGTAAAAGGAGCGCTTCAGCATCTGTCCTGGCCCAGAGCCCGGCAGGACTATTCTGGTTTCGTTGTGAGGGGCCGCAGACACGACCAGACTGCTCCCGTTCATCACAGACGGTGACATCGACGTCTCAACGGCCCAGACTCCTGCCCTGCACAAGAGTGCGAGCAGCAGCAGACGCGGCCCCATGGCGGGGGGATTAGCGGCAGCGGCGATGCCCCGCCCTCGAACGCCTCTGTCATTCACCGGAGGACGGGGGCGGTGGGAACCAATGACTGCGCAGGAGGCGGGGCTCTGGGGGTCGTAGTGCCGTCCGATTCCCTATTAGCCGGTTTGGCCCCGCCTTCCGGGCGGCCGTTTGCGGAGCGCCCGTGGCCCCGCGGCCCCGCCCCCATTTCCTGCTTTCTCGCGCTGTTCTCCTCCCACCTCCAAACCTTAAAGGACAACATATTATTATGGATTAAATCTGTTTCTTGAGGTAGCTGGTAGCCAGCGCTGAGCCTTCAGTCAGGAAGACTTGAGTTCAAAATAGGCCTTAGATGGGCATGTCTATTTGCTTCAGTTTCCTCAGCTGTAAAAGGGGGATAATAACAGCACCTGCCTCCCAGAGCTGTGAGGATCAAATGAGAATATTTGCAAAGTGCCCTCAGCACAGTGCCTGGCACGTAGTAGGCGCCCTAAAAATGCATATTCCCTTCCCACCATTTCAGACCCGTTCTCTTTGGAGCCTCACTGAAACCAGGAGCTGCAGAGGAGGGGTCATTATCCCCCTTGTATAGGTGGGGAAATTGAGGAAAACTTATCACTTCATCCAGTTCCTGTGACAGATCCCCAGTGTCCCCAGGATATTTCCCTACTTCCTCTTAAATTCCTAGCTTGAAGTCTTTCCACCCCAAGTCCTGCCCTCATACTTGACGTGCCCCCAAATGCCCCATTTCCCAGTTCCACGATTTAGACAAGTAAAAGTATTAAGCTCCCACAATGCATGGGCCATTGTGATAGGGGCTGGACTTGCAAATACAAGCAGGCAGTTCCTGTCCTCAAGATGAAGAATAGAGGAAGATAACACAGAGGAGCACTGGAAAGGGGTGGGGGAAGGGCAATGGGCATGGAGTGGTGATGGAGGACGTCAGCTCAGAGGGTAGTGTCCAAAGCTCCAGTTGGGGAAAGGGGGAGGAGGGAGAAGAGACCTGATGGCCAGACTGAAAGCAATATGGTGGAAATGTGAACTACACCACTGCTGTGTCACCTACACACCCTTGATCCTGCCTTTACCAATGACTGATGCACTTCCATGTTCATTATCTCTGAAATTCCTTTTGTGGTTGTTCAGTCGTTTTGATGACTCTATTTGGGGTTTTCTTGGCAAAGATACTAGACTGGTTTGCCATCTCCTTCTCTAGCTCATATTACAGATAAGGAAACTGAGGTAAACAGGGTGAAATGACTTACCCACCCAGGGTCACACAACTAATAAGTGTCTGAGTCAGGATTTGAACTCAGGAAAATGAGTCTTCTGACTCCAGGCCTGGTATTCTATCCACTATACCACCTGGCTGCCTAGAAATTCCTTTATAGGATTTTTTTTTATCACTTCATCCCTCCCTATGCCTTGTGACTCCCTAATGCAGTTCTTCATCCTCGTGATGACCTACAAGCCCTTTCAGTTTTTTCCCAGCCCATCACCCCTACACTGGCTACATTCTCCTCCCTTTCCTATTTTGATAGCTTGGTGAAAAGGCACAACTTTACAATGTCCTCTGTTCTTAAATCCCTTGTTCCCTTGGCCTACTCCTATCAACCCTTGCCAAACTCCTTGTATTACCATCCCCTCTCCACAAACTGCCTCCTTCCCTCCTATTCAAGTACTGCTGAATGGAGCTAAAAGAGGTCAGGAGACAATGCTGATTGGGTCCACAGTCCTCCCCTAGGGTTGCTTTTCTGCAGCCTGGAAGAATCAGCTTTGTCTCTACTCACTGCCACCATGATTAAGGCCCTAATCATCTCTCACTTGGACTATGGCAATAGGCTAATTGACCCCCACCTTCATTTCTCTCCATTCCAATCCATCCTCCACTCAGCTGCCAGTGATTTTCTAAAAACACAGGTCTATCAGTGTTACTCCAACCCCCTCAATAAACTCCAGGGATTCCTGTTACCTCTAGGCTAAAATATAAAGTTTGTTATATAAGGTCTGTTTCAATCAACCAACATTTAGTGCCTGCTATGTGCCAGACACTGTGCTAAGTGCTGGGGTTGCAAGAAGAGACAAAAGACGGTTCCTGCCCTCAAGGAGCTTACAATCTAACGGGAGAGCCAACAAGCAAACATATAGAAAGTTCTACAAAGGATAAATAGGAAATAATTAGGAATGGGAAGGCACTAGAATTAAGAGGGGTTCAAAAAGCTTCCTGTAGAAGGTGATATTTTAGTTGGGGCTTAAAGGAAGCCATTGAGGTCAGTAGTCTGAGGGAAGAAAGGCATGGGGGATAGCCAGAGAAAATACCCAGAGCCAAGAGAATGACAGTCAGGAGGCCAGTGTCATTGGATTGGAGAATATGTGTCTCAGAGTAAGAAGAGTGGGAAGGTAGGAGGGGGCCAGGTTATGAAAGGCTCTGAATTCCAAGCAGAGAATCTTGTATTTGATCCTGGAGATGATAGAGAGCCACGGGAGTTTATTCAGTAGAGGATGACGTGGTCAGACCTCTGCTTTAGGAAAATCACTTTGGGGGCTAAATGGAGGATGGGTTGAAGTGCAACCCACCAGCAGCCATCACAATGATCCAGACGTGAGGTGGTGAGGACCTGGATCAGGGCAGGGGCAGTGCCAGAGGGAAGGCGGCGTATTGGAGGTTTGCCAAAGAGGTGAGATTTGCAGGCCTTGGCAACAGCTTGGAATTGGGAGGAGGGAGTGGTGAGAGGAGTGCTGGCATCTAAAGCTCTTCATAACCTTCCTGCCTCTCTAGGCTCCCTACACATTCATCTCCTTCATACACCAATCCAGGTGCACGCCTACGTGCCGCTCCTGGTGCACAAATGTGGCCTGGCGCATCTCCCTGCCGGGGCTGCTCTCCAGCCTCAGCTCTGTCTCTCCATTTCCCTGGTTTCCTTCAAGTCTCAGCTCAGGTGCCACCTTTTGCTTGAGATCCCGTTCTTCCAACCCGCTTCGTAGAAAGAAGCTTATTCGGAAGTAGGAGGAGTCAGAGAAGGTGGAGGGGAAGAGAGGGAGGAATATGAGAGGCTTCTATCTAATCCTCCCCCCCCCCCAGGGGCTAGAGCAGGGGGATTAACGGGCATGGACCCCCCCCCCCAAGGTGTTTAATAGACAAATTTCAGGGAGTCCATGAACTTGGGTGGGAAAAATATTGCATTTTTATTTTCACGAGCATCTAATTGAAATTTAGAGATCTAAATTGAAATTTAATTTAAATTCTTTCAATTATTTAAAAGCATGATTCTGAGAAAGGGGCCATAGGCTTCACCAGTCTGACTGCCAAAGGGGCACACACACACCCTGTGCCCAGAGCCCTCCCCTCTAAGATTACCTTTCCTGTTTTCTGCATATATCTTTTATATGTATTTACCTGTTTATTTCTCCACATTAGTGTGTAAACTCCTTGAGGGCAGGGATTGTTTTTGTCCTTCTTTGTATCCCTAGTATATAAACACAGTGCTTGGTACATAGTACATAGTAAGACATAGGGAATTGGTAAATTAGAACTCCCAAGTGACAAAACTCCCTCCACCAATGCAGGTCAGCTCCTTCTCTTCAATTTAGGGTCTTAGAGAATTGTCAATGGGGTCAAGCCCCACATAGAAACAGGGGCCATTAAACCGTACATGACAGTTCTGGCAGACTGACTTAGAAAACCACAAATTAACATTATCCATACTCTGTAACATTTTTATTTTGTTAAATATTTCCCAATTACATTTTAATATGGGGGGGGGGAGATTGTGGCCTGGGTTACATGTTTGACACCCTGGCCTAGAGCACTGAGACTTTAAAATGATTTGCCCAGAGTTAAGACAACCAGCATGTTGTCAGAGGCAGGGCAAGAACTTGGGTCTCAGCTTTGGAGACCAACTCTATCCACTATGGGAGCACAGTAAGCATTTAATAAATCCTTGTTAATTGATTGATCCCTGCTTATCACAGCAATTAGCACACAGTAGGGGATTAAATGTTTATTGACTGACTGATTGATTAGCCCTTGTAGCCTCAAAGTCCAAGACTCTTCCCACAGACATCTTATTCTTTCTTCAGGGGAATTTCTTGCTTTTAGACACCCACTTCCATCCCCTATCCCTTCAGGTTGTTTTGGGTTTGTTTGGTTTTCCGTCCTACTGAGGGCCAAGGGAGCAAAACTATCTGAATGCTCTCTAGAGGGTCAAAGGGAGACCAGAGAAATCTTTCCACTCACCTTTTCCAGGCTACTGTTTACTCCTGTTTGGGAGAAATATCTCCTATCTGAGTCCAATGTGGTGGGTAACCGCTGCCAGATACACATTTACCACGAAGCAGAAATTATGGGGGTAAAAATCTAGAGTCTATGATTATGCTCAAGCAGAGGTTTGGGCCTCAGCAAACCTGGACCGCTGTGAAGATTCTGACAAGGCTTTTTCTCGGGAAAATTATGTCAGCATGACAAAGAAATAATCATTTACATGTTGTGATCTTGTCCATTCCCCTTAGGCCAGAAGAGTAAAGAGAATAGAGCCATAATCCCATACTTCCTTCAATGTCATAAAAGTTCAACAAACAGCTACTCAGAGTTAAAATCTCACACATCTCCTAAGAAAATGAACCTCAGACAAACTCTATAGGTAAACAAAGTCAAGTTGCAGATTAGGCTGCATTGGAGGAACATAAATAGGCTGATTGAGGAGGAGGAGAAGGAGGATATACGTGTCAGCAAAGAGAGGGCACAGCTGAGATTATTCTTCTGGCCTCTTATCTAAGGAATGTCTGAGGCTCTTAAATCAATTTTTAAATTCCATGGGACAGGTTTTGGTCAGATAAGGTTAATATTAACCAAAATTTGCAGGAGGAATTGCTCAGAGTCCCAAATGATAAAAAGAAATCAAAAACGCCCATGACAGGTCCCATAACACTCCTCCATTTCCACCTACCTCAACCCTTACAAGGTCTTCCCATATCCACTCTCTGTTCCCTCCAATCTCTCCTTCCGACTGCTCCCAGAACAGCCTTCCTTCTGCATAGATCA